AAGTTAAAGTTTAACAAGTGGGATATTTTTTATCAGTTATTTTGACGATGGATACCTGACTCACCCCTTCTGCTGCTGAAGAACCAAAATATATCCATGCTAGCACCTCAACTTCTACATGCCCTCGGCTTTGATGGATGATGCTGAGACAACAGACAGAGGAAGAAAGGAGCGAGAGAACCAAAGACAGGACGACGATGATGCTGATGGAGCCTTCCAGTGCAGTCAGCTGCGTTAATAATCCTCTAATCCTCTCCAATCGCCAAACGCTTTCTCTCTCTCACTGAACTCGTCTGATGTTTGTCATGGTGTTTCTCTCTGTCCACCCTCCCTCTGGTTTCCTAGGCATCGCTCCATCTGTCCCTTTTACCGACTTAAATATTATATAAAGACTTTTAACATTTTGAGAATATCGCATGTGTGTCTCTGTGTATATTTTTGTGTGTTACTTTATCAAGTAAGTAAAGAAGCACACAAGTAAGGATAAGTACAGCTTTAACTACCAAAATTCACTTAGGCTATTTATTAATTAATTATTACTTTAATACAAAGAGTCAGCTGTTTCTCCAGCTTCTTTAGCTAGCAATGCTAGTGACTACTTGCAAATTTAGCAATTTAGCCCCTATTAGCATCAATATAAAAACTGATAAGAATTTCTAGAAATTGTTGCAGTCATTCATTCTTATACTAGATAAATTAGAGAGGAGAAGTACAACATGTTAATTTACTTAAGGCTCATAAATTAGAGAGGAAAACTCTGGAGGTCTACAAGGTTCATTTCCTGGGCCTTGCAAGACAGATGCAGCTTACAGTTCTGAAAAGACAAGCCTTTGTGGAAGCTCCTTAAACTGCCAGGGCCAACTCCTGTGGATATAAAAATAGTTAAGATTGTAAAAACGTCTATCCGGTCGTTAAGTGATGACGCGACGAATCCTACTTCCGAGCCTAAAGTAGTCTGCGTTTAATATGGCTTTTGTGTTGTTAACATGTTTAATGTTATGTATTTTCTTCTATTTAATCTCAAAAAGCTCCTAAAACAGTCAGTGATCCCTGTTGACCTCCCTCGGCTTTTATTACCGCTAATCATTTATTTAAGCTCAGTTTTTAAAACCTTAGGATGTAACTACAGCCCAGCCCATGCAGCAGTATATGAATGACTAACCTCGTATTGTGGATGGATTATCTCAGTTGTTCTCCTGGCTGAAGTTTGGTCCTTTTACAGCATCCTGCCATGCGATTACATTTGTTCCTCACCACCGAGAACACTCACATTAACTTTTATCGAGTGGAAAAAAAGTTAGCTTGTTTATATTATGCTAACATAGCTGTGTCGCTAACGGTCACGTAGCACATCATTATATACCAGCTAGCCAAATTTCAGTAACCCTACAAATGTCACTGCTGTTTAGTTTTCTGTCTTCATTTATGTTGGAAGTGATAACAGAGCTGTACGTTTGAATTTGTTTCCAAAACCCCGCAGTCAGGACATGCTATATTGTATTTAGATAGAAGCTAGCGAGCTAACTCCCTGCTAACTTCTAACTCCGTTAAATGTCATAAATTCCATTTTCATGGATGCCTGGATGTTAAACTCAATTGTTACACCTGGTAAAGCAGAACGCTGATCATTTTATTAAAGATGAAAGACTTTAGACACTTTTTCAACTCTCAGTAATGCCATAGTGATCGTTTGATATATGGACCTGCAGCGGAGTTTAGGCCCAGACACGGCTAGTGACGTCAGACTGAACAACCGGATAAGACAAGCCTTTAGCTCCCTTTGGTCTCAGTACACTTTCCCCATATGGTCGTTTCTTTTCAAATACAACATGATTTTGTCAATCAAAGTCTGTTTTAAAGTCAAGAAAGGACAACGGGGACTAAGCTTTATCATGTGATCAACAACATTAGGTTACTAGGATGTAATGCTTCAGTTAGATCGGCCCCTAAATAACCACATCTGATTTCAACACACACCAAGATGGTGATGGCAAAACATTTATTTTGAGGGTTCACAAAAAAGGTGTCCATTTTTATATACAGTCTACGATTTTATAGTATCTACGCAGACGCTGCTTGATTTATTGTAACTAGCAAGATTTATTGTAGCAATTATGTAACTAATTTCTACTGTGCAATTTCTGATGAGGCTTTGGTGAGCTTCAGAAATTACAAGTGAGCCAACATTTTGGCACAGCACTGTAAATGTGCTGTCAAGTTGACTGTGTTTTATTTTACAGAATAAACGATAATTCAGTGCATAAGTGAAGAAAAGCCACACATTGAATAATGTGTAATGTTGGAATTTATATTTGCATATATGAGGATTAAAATGTTTTGTCTTCTTGTTTGTGCACAACAATTTCATCACATTATGCAATCAAGAGGTTAAATACCCAGCATCCATTCACCAGGAGGACAGCACAGTCCCTGAATTCAAGGTCATTATAACAAGCTGCACTGCTGCAGTGATGTTATTGGGCCTACAGATTTTTGCTTTGTTATGTGTTAAGCCTTTACTGAACTCAGACAACTGAGAGCAGGCCGAAAATGAAGAGGATAGAGAGAGAAGGGCATAGGATCAAGAGATTAAACCAGACTCAGACCCACATGGAGAGCTGGATATTGTTCATGTTTAATTATCACTTTTTTTGTTGTTAGGTACCCATGTTAGACACAAGACAACAAGGAAAAGAGCACAAAGACAGCCTCCAAAATTCCTTCCTGATTGATTGGGGAACCTTCACAGGCTAAATGTGGGCAGAACGGATAAGGAAGCAGAACCATCACGTTTCACAGACTGTATATAAAATAATATGTTTTATATCACCTGCTGGTTTGTCACTGCTTCTAAAGGCACAGTGGCTGTTTAATAAAACCAGAAATAGATTAGACAACATCATATTAAGAGACAATATATAAGATGATCGCGGTTTCCAGTACTTCACACTGCTATACTTGAATGAATAAATAGACTGTCAGCCTGCTTCCAATATTAACAGCAACACAATTGATACATATACATACATGCACTATATTTTTTGTTTTTGGGTCTATGAATGCGACCCTAAAGTTGAATGAGCAATACACTAATACTTTCAGGAGATCCAGAAGTGCAGAATCAGTAGCAGGATGATGTGATTATTTATGTCACTGTAACTGAGCTGCTGTGTGATCTTTGCAAACAGTCAGAGCAAGGGTATTCAGTTCAAATTGAAAGAGGTCCGGTTCGAAAGTTTCCTTAAACCAGAGGTTTCCAAAGTGAACCTCTGGGG